AGGTTGGTAACCCCTATTAATGTCCTTTATTCCTCTATACAGGTCTCTAATGTTCTTGTTCTTACAGTTCACTGTAAGGTTATTATTTGTCTTTCTGATATTCCCTCTTTTATTCCTGAAATGGCTGCTGGTTTCACATCTTATATTGTTCAGATTATCCCCATTGTAACCATACAATGCAAAGGACCACCCTGTTATTATTTACTTGTGTCGGTACTTGCCAGTACATAGAAGCAGAGGCAATATCTCACACCCCACTCAAACCAGAGGGACCTGAACCCAATTGGCATGAAGGGAAGTCAGGCCTCCCTCCTACCCGAGCGTGCTATGTAATTTGGAAATAGACAGAGAGAAGCCCAGTTGACACAAAAAGAGGATGGTATTTTGGGACGAGATAGAAATTCTAAAGAACTAACAGCTTGAAAGTTTGCTTACGCAATTCCGAGAAGGTAAAGTTTATGATGAGTCACAATCCCCGGACTTAAACCAAACCAGTCTGACACTCTCCTTACTTTTACAAAGAACCCTACGCTCTAATAAAAGAGAAATCTGTCCTAAAAGACGCTGGAGAGAACTTTTTGTCACTTAGAGAGATGGCCCTCTGACCGGTCATAACTCTCCAAATGTTAAAAACTGCTTTTAGAAAGGAGCGGCGAACTGTTTCAATAGTCGAGGAAAGGGACCACTTTTCAACACCCGATTGGTCACGGAAGTCAAATGTTTTATGAATCCAAATATTACCCGCTATCTTGTTGAGTTCTGAATATCCTTTAGCGAATTCCCCTTCATTCAAGTTCTAAATATCATTAAGTTACTATAGGATTCTGACGATGGAGTATAACACACTGATATGTTGGGTTTTTGGACTTTATCCATCGTCCTGGTTTTTAAGATAACAAATAAAAACACGACGTTTCGGAAACTGGATCTGTTTCCGTTCTCAGGTGAAGGAAAACACCTATTCAGTTGGGTCCCTTAGAAAGAGCTAGCCTCAATCCAGTGATTGAGGCTAGTTTCCGAAACGTCGTGTTTTTATTTATCTTAAAAACCAGAACGATGGATAAAGTCCAAAAACCCAACATATCAGTGTCTAAATATCATACAATAAACTTTTTCTGTGGAGCGTCACGAATGTGACAATTTAGGCCTCAAATTCGTCACAGGCCTACCCTTAGAAGACCGTGAGATTGAACCCCCTAGATCAGCCCCGTGTCAGAAAGATTGTAAAAGCGTGAGAACCCAACTTTCGCTGCGAGACAGCTGACCATTGGGGGAGAATGATAAACTCGATCTAACCCTCCCCCCCTATTGTCTAAATCCAGCCAACCCGGGGATTTGGAGGATGGCAACGAGGCGTTCCCAAATTTTCACAGGACCTCTGAATCTTCAAAAACAGAGTTTTTGTTCTTTTTCAAAAGTCTCGCAACAACAGTTAAACTCGCCAGATGCAGAGCTAGCCTTCTCAACCGACTGTTAAGTGAAATTAATGTCTGAGCATTCGAAAGTTAAATCAGAAAAATTAATATTGAAAGAAAACGCGAGTGAGTGTGAACTGGTGACCCTCTCAAACACCACACATGCAGTGGTAGCAAGTCCCCAAGTGCTACATAATAGTGCTAATGGTGCATTGTGACAAGGTTTGCAGGAGTGTGTAACCAAGTAACAACAACCCGTTCATTTTGTAGAATCCGAGCTCTCCCGTACCAAGAGTAGTAAAGTAGCAATCAGAGTTGTATCTCAGTGACTTCAAGATTACAAAAACAAGAAAGGAACTAGTGCCAAGTGTCTGTGTTTCCAGTGTGTTCTTTTCTCCTCGTCGAAGTAAGGCCCGAAAACGACCTGAGCCAGAGTCTCACTCCACCCACGACTAGCCCGATCACCATCAGCTCCCCACCCCGTCCACCTTTTCCCTTCACTTCGCATCTGTACCCACAGTTGCTGGCGCCCATAGACAATCCAGGCCAAGTTCCGGACCTGAAACCCCTTTCCATAGTGAAGAGAAGTGGTGGAGTCAGAGAAGCGGCGGAGCCAGGTAAAGCCCGCCCTAGCTGTGAGCCAAACGACCAACGAGGGCAAGAGAAAGAAAGGACGGCAAAACCATTTATTTTGCTTGGATCATGTAACCACTGCAATTTGGCTAGTTTCCTTTGATATAATAATTGTAAACGTCCTTCATCAAACCATGGCCTATGCTTCTTCAATTCATAATAATTTAGACTCTCTTTGGCTGAAATTTTGATATTCTGCCTAATAGTTTCTCAAGCTCTATTAATGTCCACCTCAATGACTAAGTTTTCCAAAACTGTGAACCTATTTGAGATTTCAACAGGATGCTGCTCTTTACCCTCTCCCTCATTTAAGTTCTTGAAACAACCTCTCCATATAAGCTCTGTGTGTTGTTTATTCATATGGTATTTAGGGAATTCATCGAATACATGTTCTAGTTCTTCATAGAACCTGTCCTTCACATTATCGATCTTATCGTCTGTTGGGGCATGAACATTCAAAACAATGATATAACACCAATCCCCTCTCAGTATTATTTATGACATGATATCACTAACAAACTCTAACCTCTTAACTGCTGATATGACTCTCTCATGTACAAAAAAACCTGTACCTAATTATGATTCTCATTCCCCTTTCCATAGAAAAATGTATAGTCACCTGCTGGTTCAGTACCACCTCTGTCCCATCTGACCTCCTGTACTCCCACTAAATCTGACTTATAATTTGATATTTTTCTGCCACTGTCATGAGTGAACCTGCCCCTATACATACTTCTTGTATTACATGTCCCAAATCTCACGTCCATTTTCTTTAGCTTAGGTCTTTCATCTGAAGAATCGATCCAGGTCGGAGGCCATTTGTGACATTTTGTTATAAGTTTATTTTTTACAGTGAGGAGTTGTTAGCCCCACTCCCAACCACCAGGCCGGGGACCACCCCTTGTTAGCTGTCCGCAACTGCTTATTCAATATATCTGAAGCAACCCTCCATATCTGGAAGCTGCCTCCTCAATCTGCTGCCTGAGAATGTGCCATGCCATGGGGACAAGGGACCCACCTAACATGATTTATGTATCCTTCTATACTGAATACTCTGGGACCCCTGGCTGCACACCTCCCCCACCACACTGGGAAAAATTCCCTGGCAGCACCCGTCAATTAACATCAGTTCCAAGAGATGGATAGCCATGCTATCAAGAAGCTACACCACATTTCTGAGATGTTTCAAAGTTCACACATAGACTGTGCTAGTATTACATCTTCTCACCAACAGGTGGCAGGCTTATGTTCTTTCTCTGAACAAAGAATGCACTTTACTTATCAATATACACCAAAGAAGATAGAAAAATAAGATAACACTGCAAAAGCAGTGAATTGCTGTCACTTAAATGTCTCTGCAAGGGTAGGCACGATAATACCATTTAAATATGTCATACATACAGGGTGATTCACGAAGTTTTACCCCCACTTAGGGATGGCTTTCCTGGGGTAATTTGGAACAAAAAAATGTTAATATACTAATGGTATCCAACTCATAATTAAAGAGATACAGTAATTTGAAAACTGGCGAAAAATCTTTTTTCCTTCGAATTTCAGTCAAAACAAATTAGAAATACAATACAAACATTTTTAAATCATTAATGTTTTTGGAAAGAAGCATTCTAAAACCAAATTTTTCTTTTCAGTTTCTTAATTTTGCATTGTGCAACATTTTTCATCGATTTTGTGTTACAAAATTACATTATTTTCAGCATCCCATTCTGTAAACATACCAATGGTTGCATATCACACCCTTCTATCAATCTGTTTCCTTTAAACTGTAGTGCTTTAGAAGACGACTGGATTCACATAAGATTTTCAAAAATGTCTCCCTCCACGTCAACACAATGTGTCGCACGCGTATGAACCGCTCTGCCTATCTACCTACGCGCAACATTCAAACCAGTCTACCTTATCTGCTGACATAGCTGACTGGAACGTATGGTCGCCCACGCTGAAGCATAGTGCTGCATTCACAATGATGCGTTTCGAAAATCTATTGTTACTCCATAACTACTGAAAATCGAGCAAAAGTTTATAAGGAAATTTTGCAGGAAATAACCCCAGGAATATGTACCATAAGCCGGGGTAAAACTTCGTGAATCACCCTGTATATGTATGTTTTTATTTGTGGTCACAAAATCTCTAACTTCCTTCATAGTGTGACATGTTGCGCAATGGAGGACAACCCCTCCCTACCCAGCAGTGACGTGGCGGATGAGTCAGCGCTCCGTCCCCCCCCCTCACCGCGGTGACGTAACGCCGCAATTGCTACGTACCCGTAAACAACTTCCAACAGCGTTGCCACGTAACAGGCAAACACTACGACTATATAAGAGACTTGCACTGCCTGCGAGTTAGTTGAAATGTGGCCATCACCGAGTTCAGTTGTTGTTGTCAGTTAAGTGCATCAGTCGCCAAAGTGAGTTCTCCAGTCAGCAGTAAACGAGTTAAAAGTGTACCAGCCGCCGAAGACAGTTCTCTAGTCAGCAGTGAATGAGTTCTCAAGGCAGCAGCCAACAAGTTGAGTTGGAAGTGAGTCAGCAGTGAACGAGTTAGTGTGCGTTCAGGAGTGGCACCATGAAATATAGCAGCCGCTGAAGACTATGAGTGTGTGATACAGGGACACTTACATAGCTCCCGTATCGTAATTAATTCGTGTAGCCTACTGAAGATAGAGTGAAGAGATTATTGCAAATAGGGTTATAAAGTGTGAAACCCCGCAACTGTGTCATAAATAATTGTAGCCGATACCTGTAGGTTGTTAAATAAACCAATTAACAATCTGAACGGTGTATTCAGTAACAAAACATGTTACAATATTAATGGCAATTGATTTTTGTTTAAGAAACAGTGTTCAAGAAATGTTACCATTTTACAAACAATGGAGTTTCTATATACCTGGTAGTTCACACTGTGTTACATACGGTATTGGTTACATGCCGAACTTACCTGAAAATGTTGCTGTAATAAATCTTGTCTACTTCAGTGTATCGAGGATTTGTTATACGTGAGTGCAGCATTTGTGCGGTCAGGAAGAGGATGTGGGCCAGCATCCATGAGTAACCAGAGTCTGCAAACTAACAAGTACCTGCACATCAGTTACATGTAGAACAGGCAACTCTGTAGTGTTATGAAAGAGAGTTAAGTCCCTACAAAACACTTTTCAGCAGAAAAAGAAACTTACTTAGGTCTGCATGTCACTGTGCCACTGAACGGAGAGCACTGTACTTGGAAGCAGTACTGGCTTTTTATTTGATCCTCTTAATAAGAATAATTTTGTGGTGCACTTCTCTCATTTTGACAAATTTCTTATATAAATCTATTTTCTATAACAGAACAGAATTTAGGCAGCGAGTTACTGAACATACTAATACTAGGAAAGAAACATGATGACAGGTGACTAGCAAATAGAAGGCGCTACAAAATTTAGGTCTTGGAAGACCGCTTCTGCATGGGCACCTTTCCTCTGTCCCTTTTGTATCTTCATCACCTTCTCTCCTTACCTTCATATTCCTTTCCCAGACTTTTTACTTAACCATCCTGTCTCCATTCCTTCTCCCTTCTCCCACACGTTAAACAATGTCAGTAAATATTGCTCAAAAGCCTTTACAATTTCAGGGGATGTGAAAGTATGCACTGCCTGTGTTTTCAGACCTGGCCTCACTCGAGTGCAATGAGATAAGTCCTGCAGGGTGTGTATGGGTTACAGCACACTCTCACTCCACTCCTCCCATAATGCAGCTGCAATCACTGCCCTGCTACTTCTTACCATGCTTCTCCTCATGAACAAAACACAGTCTGTTCATGTTACAAAATTATAAATGGTTTGACATTAGATATTGCCACAACAAATGATTTTATAATTAATCAGCATTTTACAGATTGAATATTTATTCCCCGCTACATGTTTCAGACCTCATGGGACCATCATCAGGCAGCAGAAAAAAAATTGATTATAAAATCATTTGTTGTGACGACAGCTAACCTCAACCATTCATGTTTATGACACACAGGAGGACGCACACTGTGAAGATGTTACAAAATGGTGTGTTAAGACTTGGGGTATTTTTTTTATTGTTAGTGGGGGGGGGCGACTAAGTCCCTTGTACTGCGGCCACTTCTGGCCTATTGTACCAGCCCCAGATGATAGATGAGGGTGATGGTGGAGCAATTGGTGGAATGAAGATTGGCAGGGGAAACCGAAGTACTCGGAGAAAACCTGCCCCAGTGCCACTTTGTCCACCACAAATCCCACTTGACCAGACCTGCGATCAAAACCGGGCTGCTGCGGTGGGAAGCCAGCGACTAACCACTTGAGCTATGGCGCAGCCAAGACTGGGGGTAACTAGTGCACATCCTCATAAGCACAAACAAACTTCAAGTGACTTTTATGGGTCGATGTAATTCTACCCTTCAACTTACAGGCATACTGATATCAAGCAGAATTATGGACACTGCTGCTCCAAGACTGACGACACCTGCCGTCACTTGGACTAACCCCGGGTTAAGTGGACTTGCAGAATAGTCCAGCAGGAAGATGCAGGCTGGTGGGAGATTACAGACTGACACAAACACTGGTATTGGCTATGGACACAAGACACACACAAAGTCAGCTTTTTGATTCAATGCATTTAACACATAAATGGTTCATGAAAGAATAAATAATTTTAAAAAATGTTAAAATATAAATCATGATATGACCCCTTATCACAGAAAATTACATACAATATGTTCTTGATCTAACACAAATGCTTCTTCCTTGTTAAATTTGGTTAGATTAAGTTAGATCAGGTTTGGTTAAGTTCAGTTAGGTTAGGCTGGCTCAGTAACAGACATGTACTGCAATCTGTGCTTCAATCAAATTAAATTTTGCACTGCAACTTTGATTTACTTACAAGAGTTGTTAATGCTTTGGAACCAGCAACGATAGCTCCAAGAAAATATAAACTGTGTGGCAGAAGATCTATTACTGCTGTCTTATCCAGAGCAGTTACATCTAATCGCTTCTTCATTGTCAGAAACTTCAAAATTAAAACACCAACTAATGTCTGCCAACCCTGGAAGACTGTAGGATATGTAAACTTCAATACTGACAGCACATACTGCAAAGTGAAAAAGAGACATAATATACACACAGAGAAAAAAGGTGACACCATAAACAAACTTAGGATATGCATGGGCATTGCTGAGCACATTTAAGATCCAGCCGTAAGACAAGAGGCTCACCTCCAGAGACTAACCAGAAACTTGACATAAATCGGAAAACTTTAACACAGAAAATCACACACTATGTAACATCTCTCTTAGATAGACATTCTGTACATTTCTGAGCTTTAATCTACAGTAAACTATCAATTATTCATGGTAACAGAGGAGATAAGTAGCACTGATATTTAAAAATAGCAGACAATCTAAAAATTTAGAACTACTCACTATCCATGCTGCATTCAACATTGAAAATCACTTAATTATTACTCATTAGTCATTAAACAGTGAGACAAATTTCCCTCCTGTAGAAGCAACCCTTATTCAATAGTGCAAAAAAGTTATGAATTATACATAATATAGAACAATTTAAATCAGCCTTGAAAAATTGTTTGTATTTTCATGCCTTTTATACATTAGATGAATATTTTAAATACAAGATGAATTAAACCTTTTATAATGCTGTTTATATAACAAATTGTATAAATTAATTTATTATGATCTGATATCTGTTTATATATTTAAGCTATGATCTCAATAAGGTATTACTGTAAAGTTGATGAGTCCTATATGCTTGTTAAATTATTGAATTGTGTATAATTATTGTTTCTTTTATGAATTTACTTGCAAGGTGACTAGTTCTGTGCTTAGAACTAATGTATGCATATGTGGCATGTTCTGTTCCTGATGGCTTTGGTAGCCAGTAAGGATCTATGGAATTAAAATAAAGATACAGATACAAAATGGAAGGCTACAACAGAATGTGAAAATCAACATTCTACAGCACATCACTACAAAATATCACCGATACTTATTAATGAACCTGATGTAATGAGCAACATTTATATCATTAAATGAATACACAATAAATACCTAAGGAGTTCCAAAAGTCCTGCAGTTAATAACAAAAAGCAGGCAGATAATCATGAGTCTACTATATCTTCAAATTCTAGAGATACATAAACTTGATTAACAAAATCACATCATTTCATTCTTTAAAACAAAATCTGAAAGACTGCCGTTGTTTTACTAGGAACTGCAGTAGTTCTTACTATACATATATTTTGATTTTGATTACTTGGTATAGTATATAAAGTGCAGTATCCACAGAGTGCATCATGTAAAATAACACGTCTGCTTGCGAGTATCATTTCCGTTTACCGTGCAGTATGCAGTTTCAATGTAAATTACCTTCAACAGAATAAAAACGAGTTCCTGTTTTCACACGGATGGGGACTTCAATAAAGGGTTCAGGGTTTAGTTATTTTGTTTAAAATTTCAGAAGTATCTAAAACACACATCAAATGGTATGATTCATAAATTATTAATTCTATAATACTTAAGAAGGCGCTCGTGGCCAAATCAGGTTTCTATCCCGCCATTTACGTGGAATAATTGACGAAAACCAAGAAAAATTTCGGTAACGATTCAAACCGTGCCAACTTCCGAACACAACCCTAGAGTATTTACCACTACGCCAACCCTCTTGGTGCTTTTATTAACAAATTTAATACTTGGTCTCCTCTTGACAGATTCAAACGCGTGCAGTCTCATATCTGAAAATATGAAGCATCCAATTCTAATCTTTCATAATGACATATCAAACATGATTTCACTGCGCACTAAGTCACATGTATATCATGCCCACCTTATTAGCAAATATCGCCGATACAAATAAGACTACATATATAATGAAATCAGAATATTCTGATTTTATTATAAATTTTATTGTATTTTTCCATAACTGACAATACTCATGTACTTTCGAAATACACATTGCCACGTTTATTTGTAACCCTTAACCTCACGCACATTCTTCTTCTTCTTCTTTGACAACAGCAGTGCCCAAGCTAATGGCATGGTTTACTAGTTGTCTTCGTCCTCATTCTTTTCATGATTAACACTATAACGCTCACGGATCCCTACGCACAATTCTTCACTGGTCATTGAGTCCATTCGGTCCATTCTGCTCCTGTACGTCACTCATGTATGTGTTTGTGTTTGTCATACATTCTTGGTTGTGTTCCTGTCGTACGTCCTCATGCAAACCATCCATAAACAAAAACACAGCTGAAGAGATCAGTCGTCTGGGATTTGGTACCGTGTACATGTGGTGTTAACCGACGTTTCGGAGGAACGTATCGCCTCCATCTTCAGGATAGAAGGAAAAATATGAGAAATCCGCAAACGAAGAGACCGTGAGAACCGAAACGTCGGTTAACACCGCATATACACGGTGCCAAATCCCAGAAGACTGCTTTCTTCACAGTCACCGCCGTGAAAGCATTTGACAATGCCTCTGACTATTTTCCTTCATTAATGGAACATACTCCGGCAATTCTAATTCCAAAGGTTATATGAACACAATAATTTTTGTAACTATATTAATATCTCGTAAACGTAATACATTAAAAAATATATTGTTGCGGAATAAAAATTCTATTACAATCACTCTTAGTTTTTTTTTTTTTAATTTTAAGAAGTGATATAATACTGTAATATTTATGTTAGCTAGGCTACGGGTGACATGTTTCAATGTAACCACAAAGTAACTTGATGGAAGGGGCAGAACGCACATTGTTTTAGAGGGTCTGGTTGTCTGGTTTGTGTTGTTTGTTGGGGTTAGAGTGAACTAGATTTCATTTCGATTTCAGGCGCTGAAGCAGAAGTAACTTCTAAAACAGGTGAACAGGAGATATATTGAAAATGGTATGTCTGTTTGCACAAGTTGTAGCGCCAAGACTTAGTAATATATTAAAGGAAATTGTGTTGGAACAGTAGGTTATCTGCTTTGAGTTCTCTGTACATGCTTTTGAAGGTTGAATTTTTACATGTTAAGGAAGTACACACATTAAATGTAAAATAGGAGTGCATAATTCATTCTTGTGTTTAAGGTAAATGTAGTGGCCAAGAATTATTTTGGTTGATTTAGGTACCTCCTCTCCTAGGTACCATTAAAGATTATTAGTAACTATATACTGTATTTATAAGATTTACGGGTTAAATTCTAGCACACTGAGGAGCTCAGAAGACATTACCGGTGGCCGCACTGAAGTTTGTGTTGTTAGGCTTTCCTTCTTCTTAAATATTAGAAAGCTAAGTTAGTTGAATTGTTTTTTAAAGTCAACTTCTAATATAGGGAGTAGGAAACTTGTTCCCCTAGTGTCTCCACAAACCGTAATTTTACTAAATAACGATGGGAGTTATGCAATTCAAATAAGTTTTTTGTGCTGTTCATAATTTGTACATCAAATTTATGTGAATGCATTCTTCTTAGACTTATTTCTTCAGGATAATTTCCTCCATTTTCTTACATTTTCACATATAACTAATAAAATTCTTAAGTTTAAGCTACAATTTTTATTTCCAATTTTCTCTACAGTTTATTACCAGAAGAACAGTTTTCCAATAGGTCAGTGGTACCAGAAAGAGACAGGAAAGAACTGAACCCTGTAAACTTCCCCTCTAACCTTAAAGTATTTTTCTCTTCAAGGAGGCCCTGATAGGCCCTATTCTATTACAGTTGAAGTTTCATCACTTTTTCCAGTGCCAAACTTTCAGCTTGACATATGCAACTGAACACAATACAGGTCTGTCCCTTTGGAGCTATGATCGTCCTCACTGATTTTCATGTCATTTCTTGGCACACTATTGCTGAATAGCAGACCTTTCACTGCTTATATATTGATTGATCCAAACAACTTTAAAACTTCTCTGTTAAATTGTTTGCTGCATTAGTGCTCTGAACCATGGACGTTTATTTTTAAAAACTAAACCAGAAATCTAACCTTGTGGACTTTGTTTGAAGGCACATTCTGAGATTGAAATTTGGGCCTCATTTTTACAGATAGCCAGTGCTAATGTGGCAGACAACATGTTGGTGAAGTTGCATGTATCACCCATTAATACAAAAGTACCAAATTCCTCCAGGAACTAAGGACTTCACAGTCAGGGCAACCTTGTGTGATGTCAGGTCACAATTTTCAAAAAATGGTGGGACTTTCAGATCTGTAACAGTTTCTTTAGCAAGTGATCAGCTGTCAGTTCAAATTTTTTTTGAGAATATCTGAATCATTTGTGGGAGGACAAATGAACATTCATCAGTGATGTACTCATCACTTTACAGGATGTTTTCCTAATGATCAGGAGGAAAAAGCTCACCATTTTCACAGACGCAAAGGACACGACGACGGTACTTGAACTGAAGAAAATGATAGAAGGTAAGTGGCACTATGATTTACACTAGAAATACAGCTGTTCAAGAATGTTCATTGGTGTTAGCATCAGTACCAACACAGACAATTTCTGTCATGTTGACATTATTGATTGTAGAGAATAAAAACGTACTGAAGATGCAAAGTTTCATGAAAATCCACCAGTTAATTGAGAAGTTGGCAAGGAGGAGAGGCAGACCTCAGACCCTTCTTAAAGAGGGAAGTGGGTTGGAAAGCTAGTGAGTGAATTTGCATTTGTGTGTTTAACAGGTATCCTTAAAGTTTCCCCTGTGAACCAGCAATTATTCAAGGATAACCAAGTTATGGAAGATGAGAAAGCTTTACAAGATTATGGGTTGACATCGAATTCTGCCAAGGCTCAGTGTCCTGGATCCGTAGGCTTAGCACTTAGGTATGTAACATGACATTCCCTTTGCCATTGAGGCAGTTATCTCTTGTTGCATGTGCTTAGTATTCATGGCTATGGTTAATCCATTGTGTGTCCAGTCTTACACCATGCTAAATGATGTTAGCCTAGTGGTGGTGTGGCTTCCCCCTCTGTCTGCTGTTACCAAGCAAGTTCCTTAA